GCACTTCCGTATGTCAAGAACGTTTCGGAAGCTGTCGGCCGCCTTCTCGCACCACTTGGGGTTGGAATGGCACACAGACCGGAGGCAACCATCAGGCGTCTGATCATGAAACCGAAAGACCCACTGCCACGGCTAGAAACGTGTGGAGTCGTTTATCGGATCTGGTGCAGTTGCGGACAAAGCAACTACGTCGGAGAAACCGGAAGACAGCTCCGAACGAGAATGGCCGAACACGCGGCAGCGGTGCGCAGAAATGACGCCAGCTCTCAAGTTGCAGCTCATTCGACGAGATCCGGCCACAAATTTAAATGCGATGAGGCCGAAATTCTCGCAAGAGGTGACAACCGAGTGAGCCGGGAGCTACTGGAATCATGGTTTACTGGCCCCCAGTCCATCAAAAAGTGCAACGATCTTTCCATTCAATTAAGCGTGTTGAGACTTCGTCTAGGCGGAGTAATTGGCCACGCGGGGAGCGCACTGGTGAACACTCTTCCCAACACCCGAGTCAACGCGTCAGATGGTCGAGCAATCATCACGCCAACATCCAACGCACGTGATGAAATTGCAACAATTATCGACTCGAATGTCGGCCATCAAGCAATGATCACACCAAGTGTGACAATCCCGGATGAAGGGGGAGAGCCGTGAACGTTCATAGGTATGCGGTAGCATGGCTACTGCATCCTATAAATACCGCAGCCCCTTGTGCAACAACCACCCGTTTCTGCAATTTTGTCTCTGATGATGGATTCGAGTAGGAATCCGAAACGTCAGGCTAATAAAGCTGTTGTCCCGGCGATCGTGTCTCCTTATTCAAGACTACTTCCTGGGACGCGGCTCTTCGCTTCTATTGGCAGTGAGGGGTTTATTGTGCACAGAATCCGGAGTTGCGCTCTCAGGCGGCAGTGGTTACCGGCGAAGCCACTGCGTCCAGTCGTGCCTGAGAGTCTCTGGGACAGTGGTGGCAGCCGCTTTTGTAGACTCGTTGGCCAAGCTCAAGTGATGTCCAGTCAGTGTGTGTTGCACTTTCCAGAGAAGGGGGTCGGTGGTGTTCAGGGGGGGGGGTCTGGGTCGAGTGATGTGTTCAGGGGACGCGTGGGTAGCTACGACACTGTGGACGCAGGTGTGACCGAGTTGAAGTCAGTCGAGTGGCTGCAGGTCAGTGCGTCTGAAACCGCCGCACACTGCGAAGGTGGGTGACCTTGACGCATGAGGATCTTGAAGATGGACGACAGACACAGCCATGATGGCAACAGTTCTACCAAGCTGATTAATCTGAATGCAGACTCAGAAGGCATTTTTCCTCCACAGATGTCTCAATGTGTCCCTCCAATCAGAAACAAAGTGGACAGTTTATTGACAGTAAAAAGGAGGGGGGGAGGGGAGGGGCATTCGGCGTGTGCTGCCGTAAAAGGAAAAATCAACGGGAATGAGGCCTCTCTTTGTGGCAGATTTGGTAAGATCACAGTTGGTAGTCAGACATTATACTTTGATACTGTCGACGTACGTACTTGTTATTAGTTGGTGCGCTTACCGTGTCTAGGGGACTTGTTATCAGTGAATGTGCTTTTACTGGTTTAGGCAGGTCGCCCGTTTCGGTCAAGCTGTTGGGTTTAGTGGGGGTTAGGGTTAGGCTCTCCTTGGTAACTTACCTTTTTCCCAGAAACTTCAGCATTCCTCTAACATCCCTTTCAGTTACCCCATATAACCCCCTTTCCCACCATTCCCGTACGACAGGGACCCGGCTGTCCGCCTCCCCATTCCTGGCTACCAACTGCGATCTAACCGCAGATTTAAGCGGTATATGGGGTTTGTCGAAATATCTCGAGAGTGGAGGGTCTGTTGGACGTTTTCACCTGTATCAGTAAATTGATAAACATTAAACTTTAAGCAACTCGGCAGACAGAATTTAAAAAACGATGACTCGGTCTTTTGCAAATTTTACCCAGAACGTCAATAAACAGCTTGAGAAAGGATTTTGGACAAAGCAGAGGATGGAAGCCAAGGTGGTGTTTTGCAGTTCCATTTTTTGAGGAAGGCAGCCGTTATCCGTGAAGAAAATCTGTTTAAAAATGTCCCTCCCGCGACTCAGAATCCGAATTTTGCACCCAACATGTGATGACCACGCTGATTGCAGAATGAGAAGACATTTTTCTTCAAAAATGGTCTTAATGTGGCCCCTCACATTCAAAAGCACAGTGGACAGTTAATTGACTGCAAAATCTCGTGTAGCGGGAAGGGCATTCAGCGTGTGCTGCAGTAAGTTCTCTCGTCGTTACGATGTGGCCCATTCCACAAGCCGAGTATCGTGTGCGCCTTTTTAAGATTATGTGAATAAATTGAAGACCGAGCGGTGTGCTAGCTGCACGAAGGCTTAATCATCACTGATTCGTAAAGCCACATCTTTCTGCAAAGGCGACTAACATTAGGCGTGCTAACTCATGAAGTGTTAACCGATATTCTGAAATGTGTTTTCAGCTGTAAAAGATTACTTAAGTATGGGTGTAAAATTTATCACCGCACAATATAATCAAATGATAATTCAGTTACTACAGGAGACGTAGATCGCAATGGTGTAGGGAAGTAAAATTGAGCCAGATATGACGGTTGCAAAAACCCGGGTAGCAGGAAGGGCATTCAGCATTAGCCGACGTAAGTTTGCAATTAGTTACGATGTAGCCCATTCCAAGAGCCGGGCCGCGTGCCTACGTTTTGCAATTTATGTGAACCAATTAAATGACGCGGCCCTCGCCTTTACTCCAAGAAACGTGAATCATCGCGGCTGTGTACTGAGTGTTCTTCGTGTTCAGCTCGGAGAAACCACAGCCGCAAACTGGCGGCATAGATCCGTCGCCAGCTATCAGACTTGTCGCAGATGTGTTATCTCGTGAAATGTTAGTCGAGGTTCTCAAATAAGTTTACGATTCGAAAGGATTACCTACATAAGTAGTGTTTTCTTAATAATCATGCAGCATGTAGCTGGGAAGGAATTTGTTCGAAAACTGGCGTCTTATTATGGAATTTAGCGGCATGATAATCAGTTTTCCAACCGCAGTTTATTAGTTTTTCCGAATCAAAAACGCATTTCGCAATTTCGGTTAACATTTCATGAGTTAGCTCACCTATTGTACGCCCTGGACTTGGCCGAAACCTCCATCACCCCTGGTTCCTCACCAAGACGGTCTTTGCTTTTGGTTGGACAGATTCAAACCATATCGATGGGTTTACTGGGTTTTATTAAGATAAATATATTTATTTGAAGGGAATGCATGTGCTTCACTTTCGAACATTGACGGCAACGCAAGGCGGGGAAGAAGATGGAGGGCTAATTGAATTGCAAGCGAAGCAGAGGGTCTAGATCAAAGAAGTGTTCTACAGTCGAACTCTGTTCTGTTTCACAGTTTCCTTCATGTGGGTGGAAATTTAAAACTGCATGGCGCAGGTGTGCGACGACCACGCTGATTGCTGATTTAGGAAGCCTTATTCTTCAGAAAATGTCTCAGTTTGGCCCTTCATCCAAAAACAAAGTGGACAATGGAGATCTCTTGCTTTTCAAAATGCTCATATATCCTTTAAAAGGCCGTATAATGCGGCATTCATGTTGTGCTGTTGTGCGATTAATGAGAGATGTAGTTTCGTTAGTTCGACCGTAGCAGCAAGGGGCGACAAGCACGGTGACTTGCGCGTGAACTAGTTTAAAGTACCAGCAGACTTGCGCAGTATCTACCACACTTTCCCTTCCCCATCCCCCCAACTGGACACAGTGGCAATACAGAGTGAGGAAGACCAGAGGCGAGGGATGGCGCAGGTGGCTGGCAGGGCGGGGCCCGCACCTAGGCGTGCCACCATACCCCGAACCGAAGGTGGCCAGCAAGTCGAATTGGCGTCCTGAATGTCCGTTGACACGTGGGTGGCGGTTGTGCGATTGCATCGCGGGGTGGGCGCAGCTGAGACTTGTGTGCTCCGCGTTTGGCTTTGGCGGAGGCAGTGCGCAGCGCCTGTCTTCACTGAGTTCCGCCTGGTCGATCAGTCTCGGGCGAGGTCTCCCCAGTTGGCCGGATTGATTTGCAGACGCTTCAGGGAGGACTTTAGAGTATTCTTGTATCGACAGATTTGGCCTCCTTGGCGGCGAGAACCCGCCGTGACGATGTCTCCGTAGAAGAGTCGTTTGGGTGGTCGCTCGTCGTCCATGCGCGCCAGGTGGCCGCTCCAGCGCAGCTGCATTTGTCTCAGCATGGGGTAGATGCTGAGGATTCTCATCCGTTCCTGTACATCGGGGGCGTCTGCGGCGGCAGCGATAGGAAGGTTGTCTAGCCGTTGAGCTAGCTCATTGCTGAAATGGAGATGGTGAGCAGGCAAAGACAACAAGGCAACATTCAACTTACCTGGGGGTCGCTAACCTTGTGGTCGCCTGCGAGGCTGTAGACGAATACACATCTTCGAGATGACGAGGCGATGGTCAGTGCAAACGTCAGCGCCCGCGATCGCCTTCGTCACCAGCACGTCCCGCTGATCTCGCCTCCGGACGAGGACATAGTCCAGCAGGTGCCACTGGCGCGAACGAGGATGCCTCCAGGTGACCTTCTCTCGCTGCAGCAGACAGAAAAACGTGTTCGTCAGGATGAGGCGGTGTTCTGCGCAGGTGCGGAGAAGCAGCAGACCATTGTCGTTGGAGCCGTGGAGACCGTGGGGGCCCAGCACTCCTCTCCAGGCAGTATGGTCTGTGTCGACGCGGGCGTTGAAGTCGCCAAGGACAATCAACTTGTCCGCCTTCGACACAGTCGCCAAGAGGGCGTGCAGGTCCTCGTAGAATTTGTCTCTTGCGGCGGCCTCAGGGCTGCTCATCGGCGGAGCGTAGGCGCTGATCATGGTGGCGAATTTGCCTCCTCGCCGGAGAGGCAGGCGGAGGCTCATCAGGCGATCGTTGATTCCCTGCGGTAGACAGGGCAGTCGTCCCACGATGTCAGTCCGGATGGCGAAGGCGACACCCGCGTCTCGTCGCTCTGCCCTGGGTCGACCACTCCAGAAGAAGTTGTAGCCGACACCCGCCTCCTCCAGTTGGCCTTGTTCGGAGAATCGGGTCTCGCTGAGTGCGGCGATGTCCACCTTGTAGCGCGCCAGTTCTCGTGCCACTAGCGCCGTCCTCCGTTCCGGTCGGTTGCTCCTCGGATTGTCTAAAAGGGAACGAACATTCCAGGCTGCCAGTTTGAGTGTATTTAAACAACCATTCCAGCCTTTGGATCGGTGGGAAGGAGGTGGGAAAAGATACAGCGTGTTGTTTCGATTTTGGATGTTTCGAACGTGAGTTTAGCTTTTGCAGTCACGATCAGCCTGCAGACGGCGTGAATCCCTAGCATTTGTCTAGGGCACCATTTCTAATCCCTACCCCCTCGCGGGGTGAGCATTGCCCTCCCTAAGTTGTCGCAGACGGCTGCCGAACTCTACTACGTACCCGGACCTGCCAACGACATCTCCGTGGGAGAGGAGCAGTGGGGAGCAAAGTAGAGACACCGAGCTTTCCCGTCCTTCTCAAAGCTAACCGGTTTCTGTAATTTAAACGGTATGCAGACAAATTTAGCAGAACGGTATTTAGCTTACAATAAGCACAGACGTGTACAAGCAGACGAAATGAAGCAGGCAAGAACGACATAAAGCAAAGGCAACAATAAAACGTCAACAAGAACAAACACAATCAAGTATACAAATGACAGGGCAGTGTTCGCTTACCTGGTGGGCACTTACATTGTGTTGCAGACGGAGTCTCGACGGGGAGATACCGAGAAGGTGATGCATGCAACTAGCAAAGACGAGATCCCGGTGGCAGCGAAGCACACATGGATACCCTCACCTGGTTTAGCCCGTCGGTTGAGGCGGTTGCCCGGGGTGTGACCGCCAAGCAGAACCTAGCCTCGGGAGCCACATGTGAGAGTTCGACGTCAGCAAGTGGAGGCTAGGCGTCGTCTGCACTACGACTGCCACGAGGAACCGCAACTGGACACCCCTACACCTCGAGATTTGGTTTAATTGTCTGTTCATCTACCATGTGAAACTGGATTTGTGTGAGACGATGAGATGAGCGATGCAATTCAAGTGTAAGGAACTCCGGCGCGCCTAACTACGTTGTACCGATGTCAGTTTTTGCATAATCCTGTTGCAGTGTGAGTAGTAGGATTTCAATTATCTGCAAGAGTCAAAGCGAATGTCAGTATGCGAATCGAAAACAATCTGCAAACGTTACTAAAACATAGGCAGTAATATTAACACGGTAATGAATGGTTATCACGGAGTGTCAGGACGATATTGGTCGTGTGGCATTATGGCGTGTAATTGTGTACTGAACCAGCTTTATCTTCAAAGACCAGACATATCGAGTCCTGAGGATTATTTGATCAACTGCTTTCTTATGTATACATTTATCGACGCAGATTTCCTATCCAAGGGAAATTTCTTCCAAGCGCTTCCCTTTTTACTCACTTCTTTCTAAGGCCTCTTATAGCCACTAGGGTCTCTGTTTCAGTCTCTTCCGTGAGTTCGGACAGTGATTTCTGAAAAAATGTGCAATAACCCACTGAACCAATCCTAATCATCGACAGTGTTAACAAAAAGGCTGATTCCTGGGTTATGTTGCCTATTCCAGTCTACGTATGATCGAATTCGTCGCTCCAAACTTTTCTTCCAGGTCTGATATAACACAGAATACTCACAGAACAGTTCAGCCTGATGGGGTAGATAATGCATCCGACTAATTTTGTCCATCGATTTCGTCAGCTCCCGATCTATCGTCGCACTAGAAGTCAGGTGACCACTACTCCCGCGCGTCAGAACGTGAGCACACCCAACCCCTAGGATAGCCAATCACAGGCGACCACAACTGCCCTTGACACCCAATAAACTTGTTAGGCTGGCACCGACGGACTCTCAGGTGAGGCTTATGCACTCACGCCCACGTCAGCCTAGCGATCAGACGTGCGCGGGACCACAAACTGTCCCGCGTCGGGGTTGCTCTACAGCCACCAGGCCGCTGTACAGAATACACTACACCTATCGGCGTCTTTCCCCTTCTCCACTAAAGCGGGACTGATACATGACTATTGTGGCACTCTGAGTACACTGTCACTTCTCAGACGCCACAGACACAGACAGTTTGGCTGTTGCCCTTCACGTACCCTCGTGGGGGACAAAATGTGCTGAGTAAAGAATAACCTGAGCGTTATGTCCAGTAGACGCTGGTCAAAAGTTGGATATGGACGAAGTGTGTAACCTGCACTCCAGTCAATAGGTGGTGAATTAAATTCTTCCATGGTCAAGACGTCAGACCAAACAGCAAATCTTATGACGGGCGTCAGCCATGGGACCGCTTCTTGGCATTCGATAGACAGTCAGGACTGCAAGGCTAGTAAGTCAAGTTGTTTCCAAAGTAACCGCAAATTTATCTGTTTTCTCTGAATGCATTAGTCCGTTCTTTGCGTACATGAGCGTGCCTTCTCTCTTTCTCTCTGATGTCCTGGTCTGTCACTTCTGAACAGCTGGTGTCGGGGCATTGCTAATTCACGGCCGTTCACACGTTGGAACAGTCAGGTTTCTGTCAGTGAAATTTCATCTGGAGATCGATCAGGGAGATGGCTCTTTAGCGCAACAGGTATTGATGCGGTCCGAACCTTCGTCAACAGCGTCAGCTGCGGGGTCATCTGGACCGGACGCCTCCAGATTGAGAATGCTAGGCGATGCCTGACTTAGTTGTTGCAGATGGCACTATTGGGAGACGCCGTCCTATCCGACTCATTCCCATGCCGCTCTAACGATGAGCGCACATACCGTCCTATCGATCCGCCCACGCGGCGTGTGCTTGTTGAGATCGCGCCAGCCGACGGTCGGATTGGAGGGGCGCCCAGCCACTCAGATGAGTCAGCAGACCGGTCGACATGCTAAGAGGTCAAGGGCATGATCTGATTGGCTCAAGTGCACGCTACCCTCAGGCATCCTATATCTATCCTTTATCATCAGATTTTGCCGTTAGGAGTTCGGCCATAGACGCGTGTTCTTCACCCATGCTGTTGAGTTCTCTTTTGGGTATTCGATTGCGAAGATTTGTAGGCCGGTCAACTACTAAGCGGTACGGCTGAACATAACAGACATTACAGTCTGTCTGCTGGCTTTTAGTCTGTTTGGAAAAAAACTCAGTGTCTGGAGTCTTTAATCCTAAAAATTCCAGAGGGAATCGACCCGGTTAGCTCTCTTCAAGCTAACAGATGTGTGAGAGGTCTGGTGTGTTGAATCTGACTGATTGTTTACTCGTCTTCTATGACGGAAGGCTTTCAGCACTTCAGTTGCCTCAGTGGGTTCCAAGATATAATTAATAAGACCTTCAAAGGGCGTTTGATCTGCTGAAATCCATTCCTTGGGAGTGTTAGCGTTCGATGTGGAAACTCCCGAATAAAGAGACGTTTCTCTCTGAATACTTCACTCGTATTTTTTGTTGATGTGTCGTTCTTTAAACGGAGCAGCTGTTCTTTCGCAGTTCTGTTGTTTGATCCCTGATTTGACCGACTTGTCAGAAGCCGTTGACATGGAGAGCTGCGAACAATGGTTTGCGGATTCGATGATTGCGTAGATACTGTAGAGGAGTGTTCAGATGTTCAATCCCCCTCCCCCCATCAAGCTGGTTGAACTCCATGGCCAACACCTGGCATCCACTGCAAATCCTGCTTGCATGGGGATCGCCTATACAGTCGATGAGACTTTATGAAATGCATCGCGGTCCTAGTGAAGTGGCCTATCGGTCTGCACCGTTGGCCGGTATACCGGTGATCGGCGGATGAAGTCGATCTTGTAGGGCGTCTTCCGGGGAGAAGGGGGGAGGGGGGGTGGTGAAGAATTTTATCATGCTCTTCAGAGTCATGTAGAAGGGAAAATCTACTGAGGTGACGCTTTTATATGGAGCGTCATCTGCTTAAGTGGAGTTTGCCGAAATACCTTGACAGCGCATAGCCTGGTGCACTTTTTTAGCCTCCAAGCAGTGACAGTGTGTACTCAACGCGTTGCAATCATCAGGTCAGATCCCCAGGCCGAATTCCCCATAGTGAGGGGTTTATTGTACACAGAATCCGGAGTTTCCCTCTCAGGCGGCAGAGGCCGCTGTCGAAGCTAGGACTGGTGTTGACTGCGTCCAGTCATGCCTGAGATTCTCTGGGACAGTGGTGGCAACCGCTTTTGTAAGCTCGTGGGCAAAGCTCAAGTGGTGGCCAGTCAGTGTGTGTTGCATTTGCCGAGGGGTGGTGTCCCAGTGGCTTAGGTTGCGGTTGCAGAGGGGGAGGTACGTTCAAGTGGCCGCATGGGCAGCTGCGGCTGTGCGGACGCAGGTATGCCCCAGTTGTCAGTCGTATGACTTGAGATCAGCGCGTCTGGAAAGGCTCACTGAAAAAGGGTGGATGGCTTGGAAGCAGCGAGGTCTTGAACAATGATGTCAGACCGGTCACGATGGCTGCCCACTGCAAAATCGGTGCTAGTTGGACGCACAGCTTATCTTAACAAGCAAACATAAGGCCGCAAGAGGCTCAATGAAAATCGGTCCAACGGATGCGCCCATTGTCCCATGTGCAGGTAAGTCCCGCCGACATAATTGTCCACATACATTCACAACTCATAAGAAAAAAATTAGTAATAAGCTCGACACAGAATACAACGTACAATAAACTATCATCGGGCAAACAATGGTGGCGAAGAGTCTCCGCGACACCGCGCTTAATTATAATAATCAAGCCGTAATCCGCCGTCCAAAGTCTTCCAATTCACAAGAACCAAATCCGATCGAGATTTATCTCCTAACTGCCGTAACATGATTTACTGTCATTATGTTCGAAATTGAGTTTGCGGGCTATGGTTACCTCTCAGGCCAACTTTAAGTTGGGCGATTTTGTGTTTTTTAACCACCCAACTATTTACATTTACGTCTAAGAGCGTCAAAGGCCACTAAATAGGCCAAAAGTAACATTTCCGCCAAAGAATAAACAGCGCTGATGCAGGAGTTGACACCGTCAGTGGACAGGTTGCTGTTAGACCGATTTCGACCTGGCAACTGGAACAGGGGAAAGTGCATGTCATTCTACGTAGGCAATATTTTCCTGCCCTCTAATGATGAATAGTCTTTTTCAGTCGGTAGGCCTGTACGGAACCTGACAGCGATCCCACTGGATCAGTCGGCTGAGATCTCCTGGGAAGCCCAATATCCTCCATTTGGAGACATTAAAGAGTACCGCGTAACGTTGGCAGGAGAGGGTGCAGTCTTCTTGAGCCTCCGCTACCCGGCTGATGTCACGCTTCCACAGAGCGTTCCAAATCTTCAGTCAGGCGTGCAGTACACTCTGTCCGTCGTGACCGTAAATAAGGCCGAAGGTGTCTGTGCAGGGAGCGGTGGTCTGAGCACCCCAGTGACGGTGGCCTTTAGAATCCCGCAAGAGGTTTTTATGCTCGTTAAAAAGGCAGCTTTGGGTGTCTTCTCATTAAACAAATAACAGCGTTCGTCAAACACCCCGGAACTTGAATTTTATGAGGTGCGCCTATTTACCTGCAAATCCACTGAAAGTACCATGTACAATTTCCAACTAATTTCATATGCGGATGAAGGCATTGATGAGGACTGACTGATCATTGATTAGGCAGGTTATGAGAGTAATCGTGTAATTGTTAATAAGCATTATCGACCCACGGTCCGATTGGGATTGTAGCTGCACAGTAGTGAAAATGCGTGTGGTCTGAGCGTTACCATAATCAGGGCAAATACTAGTGCTGGAAGG